CTTGTTTAGTCTACTTTCTACATTTTTATTTCCAATAATTTGTTTATTTTAAAAAAATTGATTAGTCTACTTTCTTCATTTTTATTTCCAATATTTTTCTACAATTGATTTATATTTTATTTATTTGCAAGGAAGCAACAAAATAACTTTTTAAAAAAAGTTTATCCTCACCGATTGAGAACACATACAGTGCCTCTCTTCTTTTTTCCACTCTCTGTCTCCGATCTTATCGGACGAACGAAAGAAAAAGACGCCATGGAAAAGCTTCTCCAACCACCTTCATCTTCCACACTTGCTTCTTACAAATCTCAGTTAAGAGCATCCCCATCGCTCCTCCGCGTCCACCGTCTCGACTTTCCCATTCTTACCTTTCCCTCCTCGCGCCGGCTCAGCTCCATTTCATGCCTCTTCCGCCACAATCCATCTCCAGATTCGTCTCCAGGATCGAATCAGACTACCAATTTCTTGTTTGAGTCTCCTGAAGCCGATGGGTCCAAACCTAATCCAGGATTTCTCCAACGGATTGTGAAGACGAATTTTGAGCAGCGAAAGGTAATAATAACATATTCGACATAGTTTGTTAAAGCTTATCGAGAAGTAGCATCAATTTCTATAGGATTCAATTGTTTCAAGATCCATGGGCTTGAGTACTAGTAGTATAAGTGTTTAGGAATCAAGTTAACTTCTATCTGTTTCTTGAATAGTCGAACATTCGTTTTGCTTTGTTAGGTTCTATTGCCAACTTCTCTGCAATATTATAGCTGCATTGCTGTGGAATCTTTGTCTTCGATTGTATATACATTGCTATTTCTAATGGCAAAACATACCAACTAGTGGATCTTTGTCAAAGTGTTGATAGAAGAAGACTAGAACCAGTGGATTTGTTAAGTAGTGATTTGAGTTTACCGTACGAGGAGCTTCCTTCATTTCCAAATTCCAGTTTTTTAGATTCTTTTTGGTTCTGTAACTAAATGATGAGCGTGATGTGCAAACCTGTTTTGTAATGTTAGGGTCTTTGTGTACTTACCTTAAGATTGTTCACTGCTTTATGCAAATCTTTGTTTTCTTGCAGACCATATCGGCGGGAACAATCATCCTAGTCTCTGCTGTAGCTGTGTTTTTGCTTAACCCGATACTTGCGCCACCTGCTTTTGCTAGCTTTCAAACTGCAACTAAATCTAGCGGCGCTGCTGCTGTTGGCGGAAAACTCCTCCGGACTGAAATACTGACAAGTGCTTGGACTGGTTTCTTTGCTGGTTGTTTACATACGCTGTCTGGACCTGATCACCTTGCTGCTTTGGCTCCATTATCAATTGGACGAACGAGAATGGAGAGTGCTGCAGTTGGAGCTCTCTGGGGATGTGGTCACGACGCTGGTCAACTCATCTTCGGTCTACTATTTCTTCTTCTAAAAGATAAGCTCCACATTGAAGTCATAAGAACTTGGGGTACAAGAGTTGTGGGTTTGACTCTCCTTGTAATTGGTGCTATGGGAATCAAAGAAGCTTCCGAGATCCCGGAACCATGTGTGGTTGCTTTGGAGAATGGGGAAACAGATGAGAAAAACTCGAAGAAGAAGAAGATAGGGTTTGCGACATTTGCGACTGGGATTGTTCACGGGCTGCAACCGGATGCTCTGATGATGGTATTGCCTGCACTTGCTCTTCCTTCTCGGTTAGCCGGTGGTGCGTTTCTGATAATGTTCTTGGTTGGGACGGTGATTGCGATGGGAAGCTACACGGTGTTTATAGGGTCGTGTAGTGAGGCGTTGAAAGAGAAGGTTCCTAGGATCACAGAGAAATTAACGTGGGCGTCTTCTCTTGTCGCCATCGGACTCGGATTGGCAATTATTGTCAGCCAGTTCTTTGGATTCAGCCTTTATTGAGTCAAACATCTTCAAGTCTTTGTAGCTCTAGAGGATTAAGTTTTTTTGCATGTACCAACCAACAAAATTTGTATCTTGCTTCAGAATCTTTTTTGTTTTGTTTACTATTATATTAGAAGTTTGGATTTGGCTCCCCCGTTTTGTGAGCATTCTACATATATGTTTGAATTTTTCAAAGCAATACCGAACAATGTAAAGCATGAATGTGTTTATCTAACTTAATAGGTTTCGTCGTGCTCCGCTTCCATATTTTCGTGTAGTTTTTGCTTCTAACACATTTAATTTTTATAGATAGTAAAATATCGTTATTAAATACTAAAATGATCTTGTTCTCTAAAATAATGCATGCATGCATAAGATGCAGACCCACCATCACCTAAACTGGACTATATTCATTGCAACTCCATTTTTGTTAATAATAATCATTTTGTAAGTCAAATCAAGAATTACACATGTAAATACATAAACAAAATCTTCAAGATTTTATACTCAAACCATCACCTAAACTGGACTATAAAAAGTGATGATGTGTGTAGTCTTCAACTTCACCATTGAAAGC